CACATGATATATTATTAAAATACACTATATGGTGAGATTTCTTTTTTGTGTATAGCTCGTTATAGTGTAGAAAACTGTTGGATTTTGTGTCTCCACTATAAAGAGAGCCACTGTGTAGTTTGGATAGATACCCCGATTGGCATGATATTTTTGCGGACTGGACTAAAAACAATCATCGAGGTGAATAACCTGTGTCTGTTGGACCACATACATACGAAGACGATTTTCGCCTTAATATGTTCGATAATAGTTTGGTAAGGTCGTCCTATCACGTCATACCGCGAAGAACCGAATCTCATCTAAGTGTTTATTATGCTCAGTTTCTTAAAACGTACCCGGTTTGGATCAAAAATAACATCGTCTATTTGTAAGGTTGAGCTAGGCAGTGGTTCTTGTTTCAATGATAAGATCGGATTTTGTATTGCAATTAAGTCAGATTCCGTTTCTCCTGGGTTCTGCCTCTCCTTTTCAAGCTTTCGTTTTTTATTATAACGACCATGTTGTAATAGCTTTTTATTTGGGACCAACACCCGTCTGCTTAATATCAGACATAACGAAGATTGGTATTTTATTATTGGCAGGCGATACAAAAGCAACACTATTTGACGAGCCGTTAAGGTAAAAACCCTAGAGCCGATGTCCTCAAATCGAATAGTATATACTTTTTCAACGGGCAGGCACAAGGTGTCAAGAAAAAAAGAGGTGTGGGAGAAAGTGGATGAGCGTACAGTACGTTAATCAGGTATGTATTTATATGTTGGCTGCAAATACAAAAAAAATCGATTAAATACGCCAATCACGTAATGCAAGCAATCTTGACTACGAAGTAATGCTTTATTTTTCGATTCGCATTTATACAGTAAATTCTGCAATGCGGAACATCATTTATAGCATCCAGCCTATACTTTATCCTTTATTTTATATTTGATCTTATAGTTCCATGTGGTTGACTTTATCACTCGTCGGCATAAATTCATCACTCGTCGACATAAATTCATCAGAATTTGTAAGGACATGATCCCATGAATATTCAGAAACTGGCCTGGCTAAATGCCATAAAGTGGTGAGGGTCGGCCCGACCGATTTTTCTTCGCAATATCCGGTCCAAGCGGTAATGCTACCAATTTCCCCCCATCGCACAGCAAACGCGAGTACGGGAACGTGGCTCTGTGTTCCGTTCGGTTTGGGCCTGCTGTTGACCCATCCCACCATAGGATATTCTGTGGACCCTCCGCCGGACGGCGAGATATAGGTGCCAGTCAGCGCTCCGGTACTTTGGTTAACACTCTGAATGTTCAGGGTTGATTTGAGTTGATTTTCCCATTTCCCACGCAAATCCGTGCAGTTCTGCGCCGTCACTTCTATTGAATACTGAACAACATGATGTTATTAATATTACATAGCAATACAATATAGTAATAACATGAGAACATTTAAAATAATGAAGAAGCTGTTACAGTAAGGGTGGTTAAAAGGAGTAAGAGTAAGTTAAATTTCATCTGTCGATTTTTTACTTTTTTTCTGTAGTTAATTTTCAAATAGTGTGGTATTTTATTCATAAAAATTGTTATTGAGATATGTATAACAAGAAATTGGGTCTAGAAAAATGGGGGCCTCTGATTTATTTTTTCGAAATATTCACATGACTTTTAACCAATCATATTTATTAAAAATGGTATATAAGTATAATTTTAAAAAAGGGGGGCGATTTTGTTTGGCTGAACTTCCACATAGGGAAATGTAAATTGGGGAACCATTGTGTATCCTGACACAATAAAAGTAATGCAAACTACACAGAATTATCGTTACAACTACATGCGTAATTGGTATTGCCAAGAGTTCTATGAAAGCACATGCAAAATGAAGTTACCTTTTCACGCTAGCTCTTGTAGATCTCGAAATTACAGCCTTTCATAATGTTTTATTTTTTCATACATGCAAAAATTAATACCTGTTATGTGATCAGCCTATTTTGTCGCACAGGAGTACTGCATGTGGCTCAGCAAAAAAAATCTCCCGAGCTGGCGATCACCACGCCGGACTGTTGATCCAGTCAACCCTGGGTCGGAATACCACCGCAAATTATCCCGCATACATAGAGCTAAAGGTTCCGAGCTGAGATAATATGATTATTATCAACATTATGCTGTATAAATCGAAGGGTGTTACATTTTCCTCGACATGGATATCTGGATTAAGTGAAACAAGCCGATTTATAGCCTCTTTGCTAACATCGTAACACCCCCTCAAATTAAGATATTTTAAATTAAGACATGATCCAGCAATTTCTTTGATAGTTATATCGGTAGTTATACAAAAGCTAAGATCGAGTTGTTGAAGCCTTGGGCAAGAGCGAATAACATTACAAATTGATATTTCAGAAAATTCTGTGCGATTGGATACTCTATTTATGGCATGAATTTGTAATTGCACATAGGCCTTTATCACCGTATCCTCGAACTATAGTTATATAATTAGCCAGTCCCTTACAGCGCAAAACAGATATATTGAAATACTTTAAATTTGGGTATGATTCTGCAATCAGCTTTAGAGCTTTACTAGTAAGATGTTCAACTTTTTCGAAATCTAAATGAATTATATTTGGGAACATGCACACAATGCCTTTGATTTTCTTCGAAAGTGAGTGGTAGTATGATATTTAAAGACGAGTTAGATGTGAACCATTAATTAGTTTTCGTCCTCCCCCACATACTATTTTAAAAATCTTTCCAATCGAGATTTATCCTCTACTTCGTTTCCCTTTAGCTCAATGCGTCTCCACAGAATAGGTAAAGCCGGCAAATAAATAGAGTGGGATAGAGGGATTTATCTATCGCTAAGAAATACAAAATTTGTTCTAGTAGTTCCTGTATATTTAAAACGCCTGTATGTGCCATAAATAATATATTCTGTATCTTTAATCGAAAAAAATAAATTACGCGATCAGACCCGCATGTTTGAAATCATTGGTTTCTTTGGACTCAGATGAGTCTGTCTCCTCGCAGAATGGCACAAAATCACCATAGATGGTTAATCCTTGTTTTCTCATATCTATTTTTGCTTCGCGAAGCCATAACCAAATTTAAATTATAATCTCTCATAATATATTATTTAACTATACAGTCAAGACATTGATAGACACATCATCTAGAGTAAATTTTATTAGAAGAAGCTTGGTCGATAAGCTCGGAATGGAGTACACTAAATATAAAGAAAAAAACAGGTTGAATGTTTGGATTTATCTTTCCGATACCGGGGGGGGGGGGGGGGAGATAGACTAGTATCTACTAATGGTGACGATGTTTTTAATGATTTCGTGGTTATTGAAAAGCCAAAAGCGGACCTTGTATTAGGATTACCAACTTTTTGATAATTTGATTATCTTATTTAGATGAGATAATATCTGTTATTTAATAATATTTTTGATTTGTTTATTAGAAAGATATATCTAAAGATAATTTTAGTCTTCAGATGCTAAGTTATATAAAAGATAGATATTCTTTTTATATAGATATGATTTATAAATTTTGAGATTTTACAGAATAAATAGCATATTATAAATAGTTTTAATAAATATATATCTGTTTTATTATTATTCGTTTTTTTATTTGATTTCAAATATAAAAGATAATTATTTATTTTATTTTATAAATGAAAAATTATATTATATTTTTAATTTTTTTTTTAATTACTATTTGATAATACAAGAATATTAATAACTTTTCTTTAGAAAATGATGAAAATTAGAATCTATTATTATAATTTAGTTAAAAATTAATGTGAATTTGATAGTTAATAAATTATGATAATTAATATATAAAGCATTTATCTTATAATCTTGATTTATTAGTTAATTAACTAAGTTATTATCTAAATTATTTAAATATCTTTTAACTTTAATTATTGATATATTAAATCTTTTAATACTTTTAGTATATATTAGTATTTTTTAGAATGATTAATTTAGTTATTAATATAACTATCTATTTAATTGATATGAATAATTTTATATATTATTTTTAAATTTCTGTATAATTAATTAGTTATTAGAATATATTAAAATATATAAATTGAATGATATAATTTTTAATAATATATAGATAATAAAAAGTTCTATTTTTATAATAGATACTGAATTTATTATTAAAAACTTAAAGTCTATATTAGGTAACTATAATATTTATATTATATTAGCTAATATTACTAATAATTTATAGAAGTATCTGAATAAAAAGCATTTTCTATAGCTAAATATTTTTATTTTTTTCTTTAGAATCTGTTATTTTATATAAAAAATTGAATTATTATTAAAATAACTAGAAACTTGATAAGTTAAAATTATATAATAGGATCTGATAGTATTATATTACTTATTTATTATTAATATATTTATAGATAAACTGTAATTAATTACTCTTTATTTTAGCTTTAAGAATTATTTTGATTTATATTTATATATTATTGCTTTTATAAAATATGTTATATATTATTATATTTTGTGAGCTAAAATAAAAAAAGAATATTATCTTGAAAGAAAGACTTATAATTAAGCTTATAATCTGACTAGTTATTTAGAATTTAAAATATAAATTATCTATAAGAGTAAATTTTTTCTGTTAAATTATTATTATTAGAAAAAAAAGAGATATTATATTAATATATTAGTAATATTATACTTGTAATTAAGTTTTTTTTTTGATGAAATATGATTCTAAAGTGAAATTAATTAAAATTAAAATATTTAATTAATACTAATATTATAATTAATATAATTTAATATATATAATAATATTTATAAATATATTATTATTAAGCTAAAAAAAGAATTTTAATATTTTATTTCTTGTAAAAATATCTGATATTTATTTAAAGTAAGTTAAGTTAAATAAAATAAAATTAAGTTTAGATAGTTTAATGAAAATATTACTTTTTATTTAATTATTTTCTTGATTTTTCATATTATTATATTATAAAATAATAAAAAAATAAAAAAATTATATTTTATATTTAATTATTAAAAATAGAACTCTATTAAAGATATATATTACTTATTTATCTATAATAAATTTCTTTCTTAATAAAATTATTATTATATCTATTTCTATTTTGATTTGTTATTATTAGACTTTAAATTTTTTATCTAAATTAAGTAATATTTTTAGATATTTAATATAATTATTTTGTATAATAATTTTAATTCTGAATTTGAAAGATGAAATAATAACTTAATTATATTAATTTATTTATTAGGATTAATAATTAATACTTTTATTTTTTTATATTAATTATTATATTATATATATTATAGAATTATTATATAATTTGAAAAATATATATTATGATATTTTTGAATTTGATAATTTATACTGTATTATAAGTAAAGATAAGATTTGATATATTAATATTAATTAGATAGAGTTAAAAGTAAGAAAACAAAACTATTATATTCTTAATATTATATCTATAAATATTTTTAAAAGAGTTAATTATATATAATAATAAATTATAAAATATATATTAGAATATTAAAAAATATACTTCTTAATCAAAATTATCTTCTATTTGATATAATTTTATATATTCATATTTTATATATACTTAATTATGATAATTTAGTTAAAGATTTTATAAAAATATAATATAATTAAAGTTTATTTTTATTTTTTTAAAACTAAATTTAAGAATTAATTAATTAATTAAGTTATATACTTAGTATATATTCTGAAAAATATAATAGAACTCTTTTTTATATTTATGAATATCTTTTATAATATTATTAATAATATAAAATAAACTTATTGTTAAAGTATTTCTGAGTATAAAAAAATTATTATTTTTAAAAATTTTATATTAGAAATAGATATTTAAGATTTAATTAATAAAAATATATAAGAAAAGTTTTTTAACTATATTTAACAGAGTTATAAATTTGATTATATCTAAATTATCTTCTTAATCTATGAGTTTAAATATAAAAATAATATTTATTTACTTTTATTTATAAGAAATATCTTGTATTTCTATATATTTATTAAAGAGTATAATAAGTATAAGATAAATTTTTTATTTATAATATTATTAAAATAAGTTTTTAATATTATTATAATTTATAATCTTATTTAAATAAATTTGAATTAAATATTCTTGAAATTTTAAGAGTATTATAAAAATTAAAATAGAATTAAATATATAATTTTTTATTAATTTTATTAGATTATATATTTTTTTTATTATTAAGATAATTAATCTAGTATATTATATTATTATTATAGTAACATAAATTTCTTTAATTTAATAATCTTTCTTTAGTTATAAAAAAACTCTCTTTTTCTTTCACTCTATAATTTATCACA